GGAAATAAGTCATTTTACAGTAAATCAAAAGCAGTCAGTGTGTTTTCTTTTATCAGAATGAATATTTTGAAAATTTATAAACTAATAAATATATTTGAATTTAAAATAGAGAGAATTTAGAAATATAATAAGTGTACTCAAAAAACAAACATTAATAACTGAATACCTGAATATTTTCATCATTTCTTGCCTCCTCCTCTTTGCTCATTAATGCTGAAACCAAGACAACAGCATCCTCTTTGATCTGAGAACACACAGACGTTGTTGCTAAGTCAATATCCTTTGAAATTTGCTGCATTCGCACTGCCGCCTCCCAGAACGGTGTGTCACGAAAAACAGCAACAAACGCATCAGAAAGTTTGGCAGCGGAGTTACACAAAACATCTAAGGCATCCAAATAAGTGGTACTGTAGTGCTGGACGCATTCTAACTGTGACTTAAAACTGTCAGGAAAACTGGTGTGAAACATGGAGCGACTGTGGTGTTCTATAGTTGGTGAAGACTCCTGCTTGGGCTTAGAGGAAAATAACTGTTTCTTCAAGTTGTCCATGTTTACTGAAATGTCTGATTTAAACTTAGGGTCATCAGATAAAGCCACAATGACAGTGTGTAACTATTCCTAGCATGCACAACACCCCTTATCTCTGCCATTACAGCTGCCACAGGCATCTTCACATTGTGTCACGCATTGGTTGAGTAAGTTAATCCTCACACGCTTTATACGAGTAGCGAGAATAAAACTGCAAAAGAAATAATATATTTTGTCAATTAAAAAATATAGCCATTTGTTCTTGTGTTGCTTAACAGAAGATAATTTAATTTAAATTTCATTTAGTATTAAACATATTAGTTACGTGTACTGATGTATCAGTATACGCTGGCACGTCGATGTACAAAATGACAACGTGACCCAGACACAGTTGGTGGCTAACCGTGATAGCACCATCCACAGCACGAACACAGAAACATTTGTATGTGTCGTGAGGTGTCATGGCATTGTAACCTTTGACTTTGATTGTATATGACATCATCATCATGGAAAACCGACCAGAAAAGTTCAGGTTGTCCTCAGCACAAGACTTGGCGTCCTCCGGTTGACCACTCTAAAAATCCAGTATTTTGCAATGTAACATCTTGTCCGCAAACACATGTCGTCTTTAACAACTTACCGATTTATACGTGGCGAATACGAGTGATGTCCATTGTAAAAATAGTTACATACAAGATGAAGAAGACAAACTGCAAACTGTAAACACACACCTACCTTCTCCACAATAAGCCAACCCGGAAGTGATTATACGCAGGTCACACCATTACTCAAATATCATTTCCTTATTTGGTTAGGGACTCCTCCATTATTATATCGGGTAGGGAATACAAACTTATTTTAGACGTTGTAGAAAAAGGCACAGTCAGAATTGACTGAAAATGGCAATTTAATATTTACAATCTAAAAAATTATAACGAGAGATCATGAAATTCATTTATGAAATAATTTGTATGTCTATCAGAAACCAACGTTTAGCCAAGATCATGTGACAAATAAGAACCAAGCTCTGATTGGCTAGAAGTTCGTTGCTATCAAAAAAGGGCAATTGGAAGAATATAAAAATGTGGGCCGTAGGCTCTTTTTTCGATTCGGCCTGGTTTGTTTTGGGATAGCTCATTAAACGACAGGGACCACTTAATACACCTTTATTATCCTGCCACGTATTCCTATGGAACACGATGCAAAGTAATGTTTACTACTAGTATTTCACTATGTAAAAAGAACAACATTTTGCGAAAGTCAATGTGAATATCTTTTTTGGGGACTCCCGGTAACCCCATTAAAATCATCACTGTTACAATAATTCGCGATTCTCCCTGACTGGTAAAATATGCAATAAACGATGTCTCTTATGAAATTATATATAGTGATTTATGTTGTAATCTATGTACGCGTACGGTTAGCACTTGCATTTGACGTTCAATTAGACTGGCTACAGTCGGGGAGATTATATTTGTCCTGTCTCAAGTAAATTAAAGAAATATTTCCGCGAAATACCCCACTCACCGCGAAATCCACCCACCGTGTTATGATGCCGATAGAGGGCGCAGCGGACTCACAATTTACCGGAGTCAATCAGGGTCTTTCCAAATACTGACGCAAATAACAAAGTACCAGTACGCAAATTGTAAATAAATCAATTTAAATCACTGCGAGTGACAAACATATTATTGGCAAGCCTGAATACTATATAGTACCTTATTTTCACTCGGAATTTATTTTCGCTGAAGATGTGAGTAGTAACAATAAAATGCTGATAAAATTCTTTTTTTTTCTATATTATACGTTAAACTTATTACATGTAAGTTCGGCGAAAATAAATTCCGAGTGGAAATAATAGGTACTGTACTATACAGTATTTAGGTATAAAAAAAAACAGTGAATAAATTTTATACAAAACAGCCATAATGCCCTTTAAGCAAAAATTAATTCCAGATAAAATTAAGTATTTTACAGTAGTTGTAATTAGAATCTGTGACACGACAGACTAGTTTCAGATTCCAGTAGCTTATCTGAGTCTGTTACAGACATCGTCACCCGACAGACTTTCCGTTTAAACAGCACCATCAACGATGCGCCAAGTTATATCGTGGATGTGTATTCGTACTCGGTATTCTCAAAAACAAAACAACAAATTGAAGTGGAATGTACGCGATCGCGGTCATATCGGCGATTGTAAGTGACATAATGAAATGAAGCCGTCGTGAACTCACATCCACTCACAACCGCTTTGTTCCGAAGTATACTAGCGCCTTTTCTCAAAGCTCCCAACTTGTTATCAGTTCTTTGTCAACATTTTAGTTTGGGTCACAATGGCTTCACAATGATATAAAAAAAAAAGATAAAATTTAATAAGAAAACAGCAATCTACAGAAATATTTTGTAATCAGATTGGTTTGGAGCCTGACAAATCGTGAAAACATTTTCAGTTCATGGCCATTTGAATCAGTGATCAGTCTGTCCATTATTAGCGGGTCTATTGACCGATGATGATAATGGCAGTTAGGTAACACACATTCGTAGACGCGTTTTGAGTTCATAAACAAAGGTAAACAAGGCCAAGTATTGCATTGAATACCAGTACTATGTATGTCTGTTTAGATAGACCATGGAGGTCCATGGATAGACTGACAACGTACGTCTCGAATAAAAGCTCGTACATCTGACTGGCCACGTATGTTCATACTATTCGCAGCCAGAATGACCATGGCCGACGGTTAGCCTAGTCAGTCTGACCACGAATCCATCAGTGCAATTAGACAAATAAAAGTAATTGTTGATACACCTGGAATTATATTCAGCCGCTGGCGGCGCTATTATGCTTACATACTAGTAAATGATTTCGAATTACTCGTCACCCGAGTAAGAATAAAGAGAATTGTCACCACGCGAATATTTGCAAGGAGCATTCAAATAGCTTGTGACAAATAAGCAGCAAGTTCATGGTATTATATACTCTCCGCAATGGTGCAATACGGCCACACGTTTGCGTTTTATGACTTATCTACAGTTACCATACTCGTCGTAACTAACTTGAAATCGTCATATAATACTAGAAGACAAACAATTCGTAAATTGTATTTCATCCTATCAGTAAGATCGTCACGAAATGGTGTCCCATCCGATAGCCGTTAGTTGAATCGCACATTTTCAGTTTGCAATGTAATACCACTATTGAGTCTGCGTTCAATACAGCTCAAAGTTCAATTGTAGGTATTTAGAAATTGTCTTATTTTATACTGTCTTTTGTTATGCGTGGACATGGACTTTATACAAAACTACGCGTGTGCCATATACAATTAGTCGTCTTCCTTTTTTTATTTATTTATACACTTTTTCTGAGCGGCCGAGATATTCTGTCAGAGCAATTTTCAACGGGATTCATCGATAAATATTCTTATGATTAAAATCACACAGGCTAGCTTCAATACAATGGATATTAGAAGTTCTCTTCAACTCTGGTGGTAAGGAGTTTCATAGTTTAGCAGAACCCCGAGTAATTAAAAGTTCGCTGCCTTACATTGACAGATAGAGATGGCAATGTTGTCGACTTGATGATTGCGTCTTATAATTATGTACATCACATTGAGTAATGAAAGAATTGAAAATAGTCTGGTGCACAATCATTCAACGGCAGTGAAATAGAAAATACGACGCCTAATTTACATAACATGCAATTTTGAAAACAGTTTAGAAATTCAAAACGGTATAGTAAATTAAAAAGTAAACGATTCGCTCTCTTCTGGAGAACATATATTTTATCAAGATTTTTTGTTGTTGTTGCTGTTGTTGTTGTATTCCCCCAAAACAACACAGCAATAGTTTTTTGCAGACTTATCAAACGGTTTGAACAAGAATTAGCGTATTACCGAAGAATACATTAATTTATACGTGTTCATTTATAATCAAACTTAGTACACTGCGAGATCAATTGCAAAATGATATCTCTAATTTCTCAAATAATGGAAATATTTGGATACATTTAACAGCACTGGAATCAGATTGTATACTAACACATACAAGGATAATGACAAGACAGCCGTAACCATATACCTTAGAACAGAGAAATTGGCAACGCTTTATAGGAATCACGTTAAAATACATAAATAAATAAATAAATAAATAAATAAATAAATCTCCTCACGAAATTATTTGACATTCCCTTTCATTAGTGAAATAGTATTTCCATATTTGGTTGTGGACGCTACCATTTTCTTAAAGGGTATGGAAAATCCAATGATAATTATGTATCATGTGATATGAACTCTAATCCTCGTATACCTAGAATTGCATAACAGAGATAACTATCAAATTAATATTTATTTGCTTTATTTGGGATGTTTAAATCAATTTAAAGTTAAACAAATTGGCGTACGTGCCCCCTCCAATCACCATGGTACGCCGTTGAAAGGTCAGAGGTTATTCACCTCAGCTGAGCTCGTTTGCGACTGTCTTCTGCTGTGACTGTATGTTTCTGTCCGTTTAAGTCGTTAAAATTCACGAAAATGGCTGCATCTGACGCCCTTCCGTCACTGGCAGAGAATGAGTGGTTCGTGGGACTCAAGGAGTACCACGCAAAGAATGCATCAAAATTAAACATGCCGAACATGTTCCAGAAAGACCCGGACCGTTTCGACAAGTTTAGGTAGGTTCCTGTTTGCTAGTTACTTCGTTTTTTATGAGATGTAAGGTTGCACAGAGGTCATCCACCCCATGCAGACATACTTTACTTGAATGCAAGGCACCCGATGGCGCTATGTTAAGAATGATTCGCAAAAAATACGTCGATATAACCATTAACGCCTCATGATAAGTTGTATGTGGCCACGTATAGATGTAACCATGGTGTCGTGGCTTCAGTCGTATGTTGACATTGGATTATTACATAGTACCCCAAACGTCAAAATATCATTCTAGAGCAGCAAACCCATGGTTAGTGTCCATGGAACTCCATGATGTGGCCAATGCATGTAGTTGTCGGTCGTACAATAGTGCTTTATTGGGAGGGAGCAGGGGTCATGCATTACTGTACTGCCTGAGTGCATACTTTGCGGTATTCTCATGATAACCTTATTATTATACATATTTTCTCTGCTTGTAGTAATAATTTAATGAAAATAGCAACGAATATTCGTTTGCATATTGCAAACCTTTGTTTTCAGTAATGGAATTCTCTTTTCGTTTTGCACATCTGCGTACAAAGTAAACAAAAGAAAGTGTTCAAATGTGACCTGACACCGAATTTCAAAATAAGGAAGACATTTGTACGTGTCCATAACACTTTTGAATACATCTGAGTGGTGTTTTACTGAAGGGTGGATTTTGTTGTTTTCGTTTTTGATACGCATTTTCTAATTATGTGCTAACAACATGAAAATGAAAGACGGATTTAGTAGTTTCATTAATAATTCAGGAACTACTCCCTCCTCTAAAGAACAAGAAAATAAAATAAAATGCAAACAACCAGCTGCCTCCTTAGCTATTCACCAACAAATTTTATTTCTGTTTTGTTTTTGCTTAGTAACTTCACTTTATTGTAATGTAATCAAAATCCTGATTCTGATACAGGCTCAATGAAATGTATTCATATTATTTGATTAAACACAGGACTGCAACATTTACCATAGTACAAGTGCACTGTATTTGTACACATGAAAATACTGTGCAACTGTTATCATGTTTCGTACACTTATAATATCAACTGCCAATAATAAAATATATTATTATTCTTATTACCGGTATTATTATTATTATATTTGTTTTCGTCAGTCAGGTGCTCTAGATAGTAACTTTTGCGTTGGAGTGGTAGACCTCATCTAGGTAGACTGCCTTCATTCCATCATAGTTATAGTTTATACTGTCTGGCCAGATTTAATTATGTTCTGGCTGGCCTGCATCTTCAACAGGCTACAGGATCGGCACATAATATCTAGGCATGGTTGGGTTACCAGAAACGGCCATTTATTTCTTTTGCTCATTGACCTGCTAAGTGGCCACACAAGATGGCTAATTAATCAATACAAGCTAAATATCCACAGAGCTTCATCAGTGTTCTATTGTTACAAGTTCAACAACTTTTCTGTCCACAGCAGTCATGGGAGTCTAATTATAAAATTAGAAACAGATAATAGGTATGGATGAATATAAAAAAAAAATGATGCCTGCTAGTTGAAATTGGATATCAATGCTCTTAACAGAACAGAAACTATGACCTTAAAATTGTTTCTGTTTCTAAACCTGCTAATGAGCATTTCTGGCTATTGAATGATTCATGTTGATTTTTCTAATATAGTCATCTTTCATTTGGATCTTAAGCCATCTCTGCTGCACTTCAGTGTGATCATGTTTCAATTTAAGATCATCATCAATTCCAGTATTAGTGATGAATGATACAGTTTCCACAGTATGGCACACAATTCATACTTGTAGGATTGGTGGGTCTTATGTCTATTTGGACGAACTGTATTTATATCACAGAAATATTTGAGTGTGTGTATCAAGTATAACTCCATTAATCTCTGTGTAAGATGATAGAACATCCCAAAGTTTTCAGCAAATAATAACTTTATTACACAACTGCACCATCAGTGGGTGCTGTATGGTAAGGATACAGATCAGAAAAAACAAACACAAATAAACAAAAACAACAAAAGTTTCAAAATTACAAACAAATCAAAGGGTATATATAAAATTCGTATTACAATTAGGTTTTATAAATTGTATTTTTTAAGTATTTTGCAAGTGCAGTACTACTATTTATAATGCAAGTGAATATTAAATTTTGGTTAGTTGTACTGCACATTTCTAATTTACAATCTTCTAAGAGGGTATTTCTTTCTTGAGTGAAGAAGCAACAGTCAAGGATGAAATGTTTTTCATCTTCTACAGTACCTGTGTTGCATTTTT